ACGATAATCATGATCTACAAAGATCGCTATCATCGTTTTTAAGGTTTGATCGTACATTCATAAAAGTCCGCCTGTTGATGGTACAACGGGTAAAGGACGTACTCGATTCCATATTCCTTTAAGACCTGGGTGAATTATACTCCACAGTAATTCTTTCCATTTTCGATCCACTGTATCTCCTTGGTCGGACGCATCTTCATGACTTCTCACAATCAGCTCGTCCCTCACCTGGAGCTTCTCTGGTCACCCTTAGTCACGCGTGTTCTCCAACCCGATGCCGGTACCACCACTTGACGCCCCTTCTGAGTCATGTTCGTCTTACCACAAGCTCACTCCTGCAAGTTCTCCTCCTTCGATCTCACCCAGAGCCAACCCTCCGTCCATCCTCCTCTGCAGTGCAAATTTTCCTTCATGAACGCACCATCCCCAATCGTTGCCCTCGTTCTTAGGTGGCGACAACATAGTCCTGATATCATTTCCGGGATTTTTCTCTGCCGTAGCGCTTACCCTTGCCGTCATTATGTGGAGATTATCGGGTGTTTTGCCCTCGTAGCACTGTTTTTCGCTGCCACGCGAATCGGCTCGCAGTTCAAACACGTGCGAGAAGTACAATTTGGCATATAATAATTTTGACACTGCACATTATCGCTAAACTATAGGTAGTCATTGGCGTAGAGTCCCAGATGTTGACATAGGAAGCACGCATTGGCGTTGTTTGCGGTCTGCGGGTGGCTAGAGCATTCAACCGTTAGGTGCCCAATTCCACCATATTGGTAACATTTTACCTGATCATCTCCGTTGCTTTGTTTGACAGCTTGTTGTGCGGTGTCAACCGAGTGCTGCCGGTGCGTGTTGGTTGCAGGCGCCTGCAAAGACGGAGCAAGCAGATCCGAAGATGTGGTGTATGCATTACCTGTAGCTCGCCCCGCCTGGGGTACTAGCGCGTTTGTTGATGGCACCAAAAATTCTCATCGCATTCGTAGCCCTTTCGGATCCCGAAGAATGTGGTCCATTGATCTCTCTAGTCATTTTCCTTTCGTAGTTCGTTCCCTCTTTCCCTCGTTTGGTGTCTGTTCTTTTGATTGACCCCCGGATCGTAAATATGCGCATACAGATAGAGGCCCGATCGCTACAAAAGCGATCCATAACACCTACTTAGGAATTACTTCACGGTGGCGCTCCTTCTACTCACTGTTCACACACGTGCAGACACACAAACACACTATCGTGAAAAATTGTGGTCAAGTATCGATGTGCTAAACGGCTCCACGCCGGTGTACGTGCACACCTGCCCCCTGGGTCATAAATATGCCTAATAACTTAGATTTCATACAGCAAATATTCTTCACTCGGCTTAATTAAAAAATATTTATTAGATGTTGAGATACAATAAGAAAACAATGATTGTGGAGATAAGATTTCGGGATGTCTTTCTACCCTTAAATGTGAACGTTGGTAAAAAAAGAAAAACACGTGTCTCTTATTTTGTTGAGTACTGTAATTTATCAAATAATTATTAAAATCAGTAAGATTGGATCCCAACCCCCCAGGCTTTTCTTGTAAGTGGAAGAGTGTAAGAGTCAATGTTTACGTTTGAGTCTCAAGCTGTAATTTTGTCAGCTAGCACTTACGTTTTGAGGTATACGTAGACAAATTTTACATAAAAAAATTCTTGGGGCAAATTTCATATTTTGAGAGCCAATGAATTTTCCCACTGCTAAAACTTAGTTTTTAATTTATAAGACTTCCACTGCATCAGTGACGACAGCTTGTTTCTTCTTAAGAATTGCACTGCTTGAGAGTATAGAGCTTTAGTTGAATTATCTTTGTTAGAGGACATTGTGTGGATTTATGTTTGTGATGATAAACCTCTCCTATTGCCAAGAAGGGTTATTGCAACGTTACGTAACGTTAAGCATATAATACTATTAATAAAACACTCGATGGCACAGAACAGAAAACAAGCCTCATCTCTAGAAAGTCCGATAGAGAATCCATTTTTAATGTTGTTAAAATTTCATAGTTCCTTCATAAACGATCTATGAATTATTTAACTTATTTTTTTAAGACGAATACAACAATATAAAATTGAGTACTAGGTAATTGGTCTTGTGGTACAGCCAAGTACGTAGTTACATTCGCAACAACAAAATTGTTCTTTAGTGAATTACAAATTGCTTAGTAACATTAAATATCTGACTTATTTTTAGTCATGTTCAAAAAAAGTTATTATTTTCTGTCTGTTTTAGATTACTATATGTAGAAAGATGCATCAAAGACCAAAAGTCAAGCTACAGCTGCATCATATCTCAGCCTGTATCGCTCAATTTTATAACAAGGAGAGTATGGGAATAAACGTCTGCAAATAACAAAAGACTGGAAGAAATAATAAATGAGTAAAAACTTATAAACACGCTTCTTTAAAATGTAGTAAGACTTTTAGAAATGGCTACTAGCTATAAATCAAATGTGAAGAAGAGGAGAGATGAAAGTTCAACTGCAGAACCAATTCAGGCTGATAATGAGACCATGTCAAAGACCAAAGTTATCAATATCCGAAAAATTAACATAAAATATAGAACTCAACCTTCTATACTCTAACATAAATGATAAAGATAATTCAGATGCATTTAACTAGTCAACAAACCAGGTGTTATCTAGTGTTAAAAGGACTATAACGGACCTTCTAGATTAAAAATCCGTAACTAGAGAGATGGAAGATAGAGAATATTCAAGCGTAGGAGATGAAAAAGGAGAGGAGATAAATTTAAAGCCACTTGTGCGTCGATAGGGTCAGAGTCACTGATCAAAGGGTTTGGAGGTTTACGATGAAGATTGGTGACAGAATTGCGCCCGGTACGTCACTCTGCTACAGTACACATGACGCAAAATGCGCAGCTCGCGCAAAAAGGGTTACCGACAGCCTGCAATTAATTTTTTAACCTAGTGTACTAGTGTAATTTTAAAAAGTGTTAATCACTTTACAAACTTTCCCCTTTAACCTACCGAAACGTGACCGACCATTGCAACCAATATGAGGCCGCAAAACTATTAGCCCACATATACGTAATCGCAGCGCTCAAACATATAAGAGACATATATCTTTATTTTAATCATATTTATTACAGTTCTTTAGTTTTACAATACATTCTCCTTTTTCTGGTTTAATCTAGCCTGTGTTATGTATGTGTGTTTTATATGTACGTGGCCTATATCTTTTTCTTTTGATCTTCTTTCCTTCTTTCCTCTTGCCTGTCCATCTCTTTACTCTTCCATACCCTCCTAAATCTTCCCCTCTCTTTGATGTACGAGCCTTATTTAATAGTCTGTGCTCCTGTTTTCAACTTTAATCTTTATTCTTAACAACCTACTGAAATTAAAATGACATTTGGCTTATATTAATAAATTAGAATATGGGAGAGAGAGACATAACGAATATCATTTACACTCGTTATAACATAATAATGTGAAAACTGGTTATATGGAATACAAATGGTATTTGCTATTCTTTGTGCATTATTGTCATTGATATTATTAATCTCTGTGTTCTGTTTTATATACTGCAGTTTATTAATACATTGATTCGTTCATCGTTCTATAAAGTTAATAGGGTAACCAATATTTTGTAATATTTTTACGATATCTGTTCTCTTTTTTACGACGAAAATGTTTTTCAGATAATAAAAAGGCTCGACTAACAAATTATATACAATGTTTTTCCTCAAATTGGTAGGACGATTCAACTGAAAGTAGATGATAGTATTCGATGCTACTCGTATTTCTTCTTATGTAAATTTTTTTTATTAATTTCATAATCGTTATATCTAGGAAATTTAATATATCATTTGTTTTAATTTCTGAATTAAACTGCAAAATGTTGTCATCAGCATTGAAAACTTTCAAAACATTCTTAATTTTATTACTTTTTACAATAAAAAAAGTGTTATCCAAGTGTCTATAATAATTATTGGGTATAATAATAATTGTATTCGTGTCTAAGTCGGGCAAGATAATCACTCTCAAGATCATTCATAACGATATCTGTAAATAGAGGAGAGATAGGCGAATCTATAACTGCTCCTTCAATCAGTATGTAAAATAGCCTATTGGTTGTAAAAAAAGTTGTTTATGTACAAAAATGTTGTACATTTTATGTCATCTGAAAGGGAATCTTACAGCACGGGCTAATGGATCGGATTCTGCGGTCTAAATGTATGGGATGTTTAGTCGGTCTCGCTCGCTCTTTTTTAGTCAGTCTCGTTCGTTCCCGCTCAGTCTGTATCGGTAACTCAAAATAACCACCACCGCTCACGCGTGTACATGTCGTGTCTCGTTACCAGTTTCTGGAGCGTTCCTGGTCGGGTGTTTCGTGTATGTGTTCGTCAGCCCTAGTATTTAGCCATAGTAGTTAGTAGCAGCGAATGTGTGGCGCTCAGAATGCTGTAGATGGTGTGCAGCAGTCTGGCACAGCTGATTTCCGGTTGCTGCCTCATTTTCGATTTCCTGGTAGCATCAAGTGTGTTAGTTTCCTCGGAGTGTTTGTGACGGTGCACGAGTGAGTAAGACGTCCGTAATTTAATTGACGTGCATTTTTAATGCGTTTTTCCGTGTTTTTTGCATGCTTTTTCTCAGGCCGGCAACACGTTATCGGAAGTTTCTTTGTGTGTGCGCTCCATTTCTCTTCGGCATAAGCTTCTTTTCTTTCGTCAGACATTGGATCGCGCTCTTTGACTTCTTGCTTCGTTTTCTCGGGCGTGGGTAGATGAATTTGAAAATAGAAAAGTGTTTCTCTTAGGGCGGAAATAGGGCATAAATGATTGGTTAGTGGGTGACTGGGGTGACAAGGGACAGGGATGGCTTTCCTGAGGTGTTTTAAATAGCATAACATTCTCCTGTTAAGTCTTGTAATGTACAGCATTAGAAGTTAAATAAATGTCGTATAAGATTATTTAAAATATATACACACCTATTTCTGATTTTAAGTAATATATGAATCATACCTTTTAGTATGTAGTCTGTTAATAAGGCTGGTACTGCTGGACTGTCTTCATTAATCGCTTTCAAAACTGTAATATAAAAAATATAGTTAAAAATTAATTGTACAGTCACATTTTATCAAAATATTTGGAAACAAAGTTTATAGTATTGTAATAAGTTTATAGTTTTTAGTATTACATACACACATACACATTTCAACATTCGTGTAAAAATTTCGCTCCTCGGGCGACGTACACTTAAATGAAGAGATTTATGGTCGGGCCAACCCGAGAATTAAACTAGCATGAGAGAAAGAGCAAGAAGATACGCACGCAGTTCTAAAAGACGGTTCACTTGCGGTTATACATGAAGCACAAGTTCACAATCGGACGCTACCTTGCTCACTTCCAGTTACTGGCCAGGCAACTGGAAGATGATATCCTTGGAGACTACGTAACTGCCCTTGGAGCAGCTGCGTGCGCTGCTCCAGAATTTGGTGTCGATGGCTGCAAAGCTTTCGACTGTACTTTTCTCGTCTCGATTTCGAAAGTACTCGATTATGTGTAACGAGTACACGGTTTGGGATCACGACGGATGAAGTGTTTACGTGTGAAGGTTAAAGTATACTACTAGTCCTGACATCGCATCTAAATTCTCTCACTTGCTTTCTCTCTCCCTACTCGCCACGCTTTCGGCTACACACACGTGCGAGAGGATCACCTTTCCGTGTGTTCGTGTGTGCTAGCGGGTTCAATGACCATCGCCTAACGTTAATATTTATAGATATATAATGTTAGGTTACAATATAAATTATATTATTTAGTATTCAACAGTGAACATTGTAATGTGAAAAGTCAGTGTAAGGCCAAGGTTAATCGATAAGAACAAAATTTGTCGAGTAATTAATTTATTATTTTCAATGATTTACAGTAGAATAATATTTGTTATGTATTTTTATAAGATTTATTTTTTTACTGCAAAAATGCAATGTTCAGTTTTTTGTCCTTGTTCTAAACTTGAAGAGATATGCAAGATATTACTTTACCTTTTGAACTGATCTCCACATATTTTTCCACCACCATTATAAATGAAGCTACGAAACTTTGAATTTTGTGTAAATTTAGTATAAGCTAGTCATATACTGTAACGGGGTTTCTGCTACCCCGTTAAGGGTGATGCTGTGTGGCTACTCGGCCTGCGGGTAACTCGTGCGGGGAACACGCGGGATTCAGCCCAGCGGCTCAGACATGCCCCTCGAAGGCGCTCTAGCCTTCGGCCCGCGGAGAGCGTCGTAGGTCAGGTAGCAGCGGACGGTGCAAGCCGGCGTACGCGCCACACGGGAGGGAGGAAGTGCCGTGAGGAAGGACGCAGTGATTAGCAGAATAAATATTTATTAAGATTAAGCTAACAAGGGAAGCATACAAATAGCATTCGCAGTGAGAGAGGCAAGCGAGAAGCAAGCGAGAGAGAGAGAATCTTAAGATCGAACGGGCACTTACATGACAAATCGCAGTGGCGTCGGCCTTATACTTAACACGCGCAGGTGTTCGGCCGCGAGGCAGCTCACTCGGGCTGACCGGCTAGGATCGGCAAACACACACTCACGCACGCACCCACGATCACACGCATGCTTCGTCTTTATCAGTAGAAAAACCCGGGCTGTGCAGCACAAGGCACTTCTTCTTTGCGTCGATCGCTGAACTTGCTTCCTATCGCCAAGTCGGGCAGCCGATTCTCTGACTCGCACGCGGACGTGGTCCCCCTCTCTCGCGTTAGCTATTCGGCAGCGGCGCGTCTCAGCCAATTAGGCTACGCGCGCGACACTCGGGCGTCCACGCTTACACGCGTACTCGCGGATCTCTCTCTCTCTCTCTACTCGGTGCTCCCTGACTTACCTCGTGCCGCGTCCACAGCTACGGCAAGGTGAAAATACATAAGGAAAAGAGTACATGGATTATCAACGGGTTATGATTAATTTAAGGGGAGAGAGAGATATAACGAGCCTCGGCTCGTTATAATACTTATGCATGCAACTGTATACTATATTCAGATTTGATTAACGAACAAAACAACAATCGAGAAAAAATGCAAAATCACCAAGCAACGATTTTATTCTTAATACGTTCGATATCAGGGGAGCAATTATTAACAATATAATAGTACATAATAACAATAGTAGACATAACAAGTTAGATGGTGTTGTAATATATATAAATAAAGATATAAAAGAAAGTACTGAAATAATTCAAATATAAAATCTGAACATAATTAACACAAAAATTACATTTATAAGTAAAAAAGAAATAATACTTTCAGATATATATAGATCACACTTTATATGTAAAACAAATATTTTATTTCACATAAAAACTTTTATAAAACAAAATATGAAAAACAAAAATAGCATAATAGCAGAAGAATTTAATTACGACATATTAAGCCAAGAATTTCTACAAATGTTACTGGAAAATGAATATTATCTAGGTTTAATAATATCACTATATCATGAAACGATAAAATTAATAAAGAAACTTGCATTGACAATTTCTTTATAAAATTAAAATATATAAATCACAAAACATATCTTTTAAATATGCCTTTCAATGAACATTATCCTTTTCTAATGTCACTGAAGAGAATGAAAAGAAATACAAAGAAGACTGCAATAACTAAAATAAATAAAATAAACTATCACAAATTAAAAAACATAGCTAGTAAAATTTAATAGGATAATCTAACAAATATAACCAACCCAAACCTAGCAATGAATAGGCTAATTAGTGATATAAAATATTGCATACAACTAAATTAAATAAACAAAAATAATAAAAATAAAAAAAATAACACAAAACGAAGAAAAACTTAGATAACAAATGCTATAATGACATTATGTAAGACTAAAGAAGTTATAGAACATTGAGAACAAGGACTCTACTAACATCGTTTATAAATAAAGTACAAAAGATACAGTTACAGTATAATAAAAGTATAAAATTCAAAGTTTTCTTAGTTCTGTCTATAATGGACGTATAAAAACTCACGGAGGATCATTTTAAAAAATATAACAGGAGTCCCATTTTAAAGGAACCACCCCGAAATTTTCTACGGTTGGCATTCTACAAAAAAATTGTTTGGGACAATGAGGGACACCTTTTTCAGAAATCGAATTTGACCTTGAGATTTATTTTTAAGGTTATTTGAAGGTCAAAGTTATTTTTTGAATAGGAACCTATAATTTTGATCCCGGATTTGGAATGAGCGAGAAATTCTACGTTTAGATAAGGTATTATATGTGGAAAGTGATTACCCCCCTGTATAATGGGAACAGAGTCAGCGTCGCTTACTTTGGTTGTCGCCAGTAGAAGATATAAATAGATTGATATCGAAACAGAAAGATAATGATAAGATTTGCTAAACGATGAAAGAGGCCTCGACGTCGGTCGATTGACTTCTGACTCAGTAGCATAATTATGCCTTCAGTAGAGCGGTCTAGCTTCTGGGTCCGTGGAGAGCGTTGTGCAGTTATGCCTCATGACTGAAAGATGTGAAAGAAAGAAAGCGGACGGTATTAGCGTACTAAAAGGAAAGGACACAAGCCGGGAAACATAAATAACAAACAGTGTTCGGGTAAAATTCGGAAATATAGTGAATAACAAGATCGTACAACAGAAAAATACATAAGGTATAAGCGTTCGTGAGAAAGAGTTAAGCAGCAAACCAATAAAGAGAAAGAGGATAACGCCGATACTTACAAATGTATCGGCGGCACCTTTCTGTTCACTTGAGTGCTGTCCAAACCATTGCCGAGAAATTCTCGAATGGCACATTGAACGAGTGTGTGACGAGAGCGAGCGTTGCGATTGCTCTCGCTCAGTATTTTTCCCTTTTTCCCCTCTCTCGGCGAAGCACAATAGCGTTGGGCGCATTTAGAATGCGCCTAATGCGTGGCCTTTGTAGATCGCCGAGTGAGGCCGAGCAGGCCCGACGCCGTAAAAGTAGACGAAACTAGAAGGTGTTGTAAGAAAGAGAGAGAGAGGGGGGCGTGCGTGCCCCACGCAGATTTAGGCAGGCCCGTGACGCGCGACCAATTAGCGCTGTAGTCGCACGCCGCCTAATAAGTAGGTCAAGTGGGGAAAAAGAAAAAAGTGAAGAAAGCTGTCGATTGCGGTAAAGCGTGCGGACAGTATAGTACGCCAACCTTAGAGAGCACGGAGCCAATCTTTTAAGTTATTCTAGGACAGAGACGAGAAAAATCATACAAAAAAAATTGCCAGTGACCTTCATCATCACCTGTGCCAAGAACACTCCCGGGGAAGAAGCCGGCTCGGCGTTGTCTCCAGCGACGGCCAATTTTACCACACGCAGAGCGTTAATGCGCCGACTATCTGCTGGTGATTGCACGGCCAGCGTACTAGGTTTTAAAATAGCGATCCGTCAAAGCGGTCACTCTTCGGGTGGTTTCGCCAATCGTAAATTACGCTAAGTTGATGTATCGTCAAAGCGGTTACCTGCCGGATGATACGAGGGGGGGGGGGGGGGTTAATAAGTCTTTACAAAAAGAAGAAAAAAAGTTTTGCGTATGTAATTTTTTTTTATTTTTCAACATAATCTTCTTGAAGGTCGATTGCTCGTTGCTCTTACACGCGATGCGACTAGTTTTTTGTCTCTCTCTCCTCTTCGTAATAACCTATAACGTTCTGTTATCTTTCCTCTCACCCTGTTGCTCGCTGAAAGTAACATAGTGTATTATATTTCAAATAATTGATGATTAATAATTAATATTGTATATTAAAGTGCTGCCACAATTATTCTCGTTATAAATAAAGCAATACCTTTTATTCCGTTGGGTTTCTTTAAATTAAAATCGCGTTTTTTATATTAAAAAAATTGAATCACTATTTTCATTTTTTACCGCTCGTAAAAAACATCTTTTAACTTTTGAACGAGTAAGTGAATTTTTAAAAAATTAGGTGGAATAGAAATCTATGCATTTGTCTCGTCTTCAAAATGAATGAAACAGAATCCATTTTTCTCAAGCCAATAAAAAGTTACGTTCATTTTTGTTCAGAAATTCGCTTTTTTCAAGTTT